GGGGAGCGGGGGGCTCTCGCTGGGTCCTGCAGCGTCAACGCCCGGTGCCCGCAGGCCTGCGTCAGGGGTTACCTGCTGCGGAAGCGGTTTCGGAGCCTGCGGGAAGAGTACGAGGAGGTGGTGCGGGAGATCGAAGGAGACCTGAGCCGGCTGGAGTGGAGGGGACGGTTCCTGCCGCGGCCCCTGTTTGTCCCCGAGGTCCGAGCGGGGGATTCTGCAGCCCCCTCTGAGGGGGGGAGCAGCACGGTGGGTGGTGTGGCCTGGCAGAGCAGGCAGATGGTATTTTCCCAGCGTAGTCCGGGGAACCTGTAATTCTACCAAATTAAAAACGATCATTACCTAGCCCTGGCCTGTAAGACTCCCCCTGACTTGTCCCTCTGAGCCCCCAGCTGAGGATTTCTTCCCCTGGGTGAAGCTCAGCTTCAAGTCAAACGCCCGCCCTGCGCAGGTGGCTCCTGCGGGTCTTGTCTCCTGGTACCCACCTCACCTGGTCGTATTGAACGGCCGGACGGGCTCCTGCAAGGCTGAGCCTCGCTCTCTGACGTTTTTACCACTTCTGGAAAGAAAGCCCTTTAAAAAGTTTGCAAGGGTTCAAACCAGAGCATGTCAGTGTTGTGGCTGGAGTGTTGCTAATGGCAGATCTCTGGCTGGGACAGAGCCTCTGGCCCACAGCAGAGCCACCTTTCAGGTCTTTATATTTTCTTCTCCTTATATCTCAATCTCTCTCATGTTGCCCCTTTAGAAGCCAGCACAAGGGAAGCATTCAGGTCTGTTGGAGGCTGTACCGAGTGACAAGGCCAGTGCAGAAAAACCCCAGGAGGAGGTGGACGCCTCAGAACCAGAACATGACTGGGACTGCAGCAGTGTGAAACCTACAGCTCAGCTGGAAAGCCAGAAAGAACTGAGCTCCACGGGTGAAGGCGATGCAGCGAACCCCCCAAATCCCAGGGCTGATGCCGATAAATGTACTGAAAAGGAGTGCGCTGCCCCAGCAGAGAGCGAGGACTGGCAGAATGACAGCAACGTATCCTCTGTGTGGGACAGCGCTGTCCTGGAGGCCGAGTCCTTCGAAAGCTGCCTGGGTAAGAGACAGGAGCTGGTGCACAGCCTGTGCTCTCCTCTGCAGTCTTGAGTGACCTGGTGGTGAGTGCAGGGGGCACAGTAGGTCATTGGAGAACCAAAACCTTGAGAATATCCTGGGGAGGTTGGAAAAACTCAGTGCAGGAGAGACAGTAGGTGCAATCCAAATCTTTGTTCTAATAATAGGTCATTCTTCCATTTCTTTGCAGAAATTCCACTCGAGGACATAAAGGACCTTCCTCGAACTCGGTCTGGTCTCCAGTCCTACAGAAATCACTTGATCATGGAGTTGGTGTGGTTGCAACAAGCTATTGTCAGCCGTAAAAACGTAAGGGCCTGACCCTGCCTCTTCCAAAACAGTGGGTCAGACCAGTGCCTGTCTGCAGCCAGAGCGGTGCTGTCTGTGGTGGGACTGGGGTTGAATGGTGATGGTTCAGTTACCCAAGGGTTGGATTGGATGATGGCAGTGCCCTTTTTTTTTCCCTTCTCTGGGGAAAAAAAAAGGAATGATGAAGGAAAACAGGAGCTGTTTAGATCTGGTTACAAGCTTTGCTCCTGGCCTGCTACAGGGACGTTGCTACTTTGGTAACTATCCTGTCTCTGTACAAGGCAGCAGTACGTACCTAGGCACCAGTTAGCGTAGCGAGCTGCTCTTTGCATTGCTTGAAAGGTGAGACTCGTGCATTTTCTGGCCAAGTGCAATGATTTTGCTGGCTAATCTGCAAGGGTGAGTGCTTTCCTACTTGTAGGTCTCTGGGATTTAATTGTTGGTTTTCTTTCTCTTGCAGTACTTGATGCTGAAACAGAGGCTGGGGACTCCTGACCCGTAGGATGGCATTCCCAAGCACGAGGGGCACTTGTATTGGTGTGGAGAAGCAGTGGAGCTGCGGCACCGCAGTCATGATGTGACTTCACAGACAGCAGCAGCTTAGGGGAACTCCAGCTCTGTGGGTTGATGTTTTCCACTTCAGATGAATGTGGGAAGAAAGCCTTTTATTTCTTTTAAATGTGAATATTTGGTCAAAACAGGGATTAAACACCACTGTGAAGCCAGGGAGGTGGTTGTGTATCCTGGAGGGCGTCCCAGTGAGGGCTTCTTCCCCAAGAACCCTATTTTTGTTGGCTGAGCTGGACCGTCCTAGGGGAAAATCGAGGCTAGGAAGACTGTCACTTACAGAAGGTGCTTTCTGACCAGCTGATTGCATGTGGTGGAACTAAAATGCCTGAAGGCAGCAGGTGCTTTGAACCTGCAGGAACAAGCTCTTCTCCACTGAACTGTGTGTGACCCATACCGGTATGGCTCCACACATCACAGCTCTGCAATATCTGGGATCTCCAGGCGGTCCTGGTAGGCTTCAGGGAACACCTAGCTGAAGTGCTAAGTTAGGAGGAGAGTTTCCTAACTTTCCTGTGCAGTTGGTGGGGAGCGATGGCACATCACACCTGACCTTCGGGAGATGAGGCTTGGTTCCTGACTTGCACATCTCTGGCCATGGTGATATCTCTCTGTGTGGCAGAGTCACCTGGACTGGTGCTTGAGGGAGCAAGTAAGGACTTAACGGGGTTTGGCGCTTTGTCTATACATTGCTCTAGTTCAGGGGCATTCGAGGTCCCTCAGAAAGGGACTGGTGCTGTGGTTCCCTACTGGGACCCCGAGTCTTCTGTGCAAACAGTCTGTGTTCCTGCTGACTGAACGGTCACTCTTGCCATATGGCAGATGTATCTTTCTGTTCCTGATGATGCCGATTTGTTTGTGAATAAAAAGCTTTCCTGACGCTCGTCTCTTGAATCTGTCTATTCCTGTCTGGCTTGCCGCCTTCTCCTGGGCAGACCCAAGTGAGTCCACGGCCCGTTCCGACCCATGGCAGCCTGTTCAGTGCAAAGGGTGGTGTGTCCGCTGGGATGTGGATCTTTGTCCAATAAACACAGGACAGAAACCCGTTGCACTTCTCATGCAGGTAGCAAGCGATAGCAAGGGGGTGACAGCTTCTGGATAGTGCCGCTCTGGATGGGATGTGAGCTGCTGCCGTAAAGATACTGGCACTTATGTACCTTCAAACTGATTAATCTGAGCCTGGTGGCTGCAGCGGCTGGTGAAGGAGCTTGCAGTACTTGATGTTTGGGGATTGAAGAGCTGTGTGGTTCCCGGTTCTCAAATAGAAAAGTGCTCTGCAGGTTGTTTGATGTGGCCTCCAGTCGGGCCCACAACTTCCTCCTGCTGGGTGTGCGTCCATGGAGACAGCCAGTTGCGCCGGACTGCGCTGGGAAGGGACGGCAGAGCGTGAGAGCGGCTGGTCGGAAAGGTTTGGGCTCAGCAGGAGGCTGGCTGGAGCTCTCCTCTGCTCCCCACGTTCGTCTGTTTTGCCTCTCTGGTCAGCGGGACTTGCTTGACCTACGGGGGATGAGCTCCTGCGGCTTAGCTCTGGCACCTCCAGCCAAGAATGTGGTGGTGTATCGCAATGGTGACCCTTTCTTCCCCGGGAGGAAGTTTGTAGTGAACCAGCGGCGGTTTCTGACCTTTGAGGCATTTCTGAATGAGGTGACCAAGAGCATTCACGCGCCCTTAGCTGTGAGGAACATCTACACACCCAGGCACGGCCACCGCATCGCTGAGCTGGGGGACCTGCAGGACGGATGCCAGTACGTGGCTGCAGGCTTTGAAAAGTTCAAAAAGCTTGAGTGAGTAGATGGAACTTTGGTCTCTGGTTTTGGTAAACAGCTTTACATCACCTCTGTGGGGAACGTATTGGGGTGTGAATGGAAAAAAAGAGGTAAGAAGGGTAGAAACCCAACGAAAACCAGAGACGGATTAATTTCTTTTCTTACTGGAAACTACTGGACATATTCCAGATCACACGGAAAATGCAAATATTCCTGGTAAGGTCAATTGACTCTCAGAAGAACACACGTTGGGGGAGGCATGCGTTCTCTGGCAGGATGTTGTGACGGGTGCTGCTCTGCCTCCTGTGCACCTTGTTTTGTGGCGTGGGAGGTTCTGCTGCCCGCTTCCTTGGCAGAGCTGTCAGTCACACTGTCTCCACTGACAAATACTTTTGCTTTGGTTTGATGAAGGTTTTTTTGGTTTCTAATCCTGTACAAAGTAGAGCTGTTTTGGTTCATCCTGAAATACAGAGGGTTAAAGAGGTTTTTGTGGCATCGCTTGACTCTAGAGGTGATGTGTGTGGTGTGTGTGCCAGGGGCTCCCGGGTGTGTATTGTATTTTGTTGAGGAGGTGGTCTAGGCTACATCAATGCCAGTCAGCCCTTGGAGCCTTGATCAGTGAGCAACACAAAGGAATAAAATCTTTTGGGTGTCTTTAGCGTGGGGATCTGAAATGGTCTGTATTTGGCTGGGAATTTCTTACATGTAGCAGACTTTAATTTAGACTGAAGTTCTGGGAGACCATGAGGTGGGGCACCTGGAGAATTGTTTCAGAAGTGACCCAAATAAGTGACCCACACTTCTGGTGGCAATGCACCAAGGCAGAGCAGTTGGTGGTTTCCTCACTGCTCTTTAGTCAGCCATGACCCAGTTAGTATGCGGCAACGTTGTCTTTTTCTCACAGCTATTTAAATCACGGAAGGAAGGAGGTCCGTGGGACAAGGAACAGCGAGGGTCTGCAGGTGAGTCCCTGAGCTGAGTGGGGGCAGGCGGGAGTGCAGAATGAGCAGGGAGGTGAGAGAGACGTTAGGGCTGGCACTGATGAAACTAAAGTTGAGATTTAAGGCTGCGAGGTGCCCAGTGGAGATCAGGAAAGTGCCACAGGAATCAGTAGGACATGTGAGACAGCACAGGGGCTACTGCTGTGTACCTTCATCCCCCTTAATGGTGCAGGGGAAGGGTCCGTGCTCAGAGGTTGGCTGGCAATTCTGGAACGTGCTCAGCTATGTGAAGAGCCTTTCCAGCCTGGGTGTTGCTGACAACAAATCCCACCTAGCAGCAGCAAGCCTGAAGGCAGGGCAGGCGGTGTCCCAGAGCAGGCAGCTCCTGATGGAGAAAAGGGAACAGCCCTGGGAGGCTCTGTCAGGGCTGTCACTGTTCTTGTGCACTGAACTCGGTCTCTACAGTTCTGCACTGTAGCTCCCTGGAAGTCGAACGTCTTGGCGCGATGGCAGAAGCACGCCCGTTTGCCCTGCATGATACAGTAAGTGCCTTGGTGTTTTCTCCTTGGAGGGTCTCTGGGAATGTTTTTGGAGGCTGGAGGAGGGAATTTCTTTGAGATCCTGGGAGCGCTGCCCCACAGGGACAATTCCCAGCTTCTACCAGAACTATTTGTTGTAAATACTGTCCAGGCACCACTGGCTGGCTTTTTTCCCCACCTTCCACAGCTGCAGGAGTACTGGCTCATCGCATGCTCTGGGTTGTTTCTACTGCAGTGTTTTCCGGAATGGGGATTTGTTGAGCCCTCCTTTCCCACTGCCGCTCTCCAAGAGCACCTCACTGCAGTGGGATGCGCTCCTGGCCACATTGACAGAGAAAGTTGACCTGCGCAGTGGAGCTGTTAAAAAGTGGGTATCCAGATAAGGCACTGCCGGCTCCTCTTTCCTTATGTCCAGAACATAAGCAGCTCTGATTAGCACAGAAGACTGGGAGTTCAGACAGCCACTTAAAGTCTGCTTTTGCAAACTCATTTGCTTTTCTGGTTTTCCCATCTTCAAATCAGGGATAACCCCAATGTCTTGGGTGCTTTGTGAGGAGGGCTGATGTTGCTGGTGGTCTGGTGGAAAAGCAGTAAGCAAGCAGTAAAGCATGGCATAAAAAGGAGTTTATGTCTAGAGGGGCTTTTATCCAACAAATGCAGCCTACCTTCTCCTCATACACCTATTTACTGACACCCAAGGAAAAAGCTAAAATCAACTGCATCTCAGTGATCACTGGGTGTAATATTTCTGCATACTTCCTCGGAGTAATACTAAGAATGATTGCTCCTGTTTACCACTTTGCACTTGCTTGACTGCTTCCATGCTGAGGGGTTGTTCAGGGTCTGGTGACATCTCTAAACCCTTTGCTCTCTCTTCCTTGAGGCTCTGCAGGCTGGACGGAACTCAGGTGTCCAGTGGGGAGGGGCTGGTGAATGGCGATTACTATGTGGCAGTGGGAAATGAGGAGTACAAAAAACTGCCTTACTTTGAGCTGCTGGTGCCCCAGGATTCTGCACGCAGGATGTTGTGGTACGTAGACTGTGGCCAGGTGGTTTAAAGAATCGTGTCCGTGGTGGTCTTCAGCTAAAGCCATCCTTTTTGTAGCCCTCCTGTTCAGTGCTGTCTGCTTCAGGGCTTGAGTTTTGCTTCATGTGTTGGAAGTTTAGGAAGAAATAATGTGTTTTCAAAGCTTTGAAGGTTAGCCCCTGAAATCCAGAGTTCAGTGCCAGAGAAAGCAAGCAGTTTGGTTGTTTCTCAGTTAAGTGTTCATCAAGCACTGAGGAGCACCTGCCCATTAGGCCAGGCATTGAATTTCACAGGCCTATGGTGGGTGGTGTGATATAATGGGAAGGTGATCTGCTGTGGAGTGTGCTCTACCTGTGCTGAGAAAAAAAACACCTCCAGGGGCCCTCTCTCTTATGGGAAAAGGGGAGATGGTGTCCTCCTGCAGCTGACTTCTACCTGATACTGAGAATCTGCTTCTTTTTTGTTGCAGGAACCACCCAAAAAGCAGGCGCAAAAAATACCACAGAAGGGTAGGTGGCTCAGCTGGCACAGGACTGTTTGTGCTACTGTCACCATTACTTTTGTGCAGGCATCCCTCTATACGCAGTGGATGTGTACCACAATCTCCATTCCCAATTGCCATGGCTATGGCATTGTCGTGGTTTAACCCCAGCCAGCAACTAAGCACCACACAGGCGCTCACTCACTCCCCCCCCATCCAGTGGGATGGGGGAGAAAATCAGGAAAAGAAGTAAAACTCCTGGGTTGAGATAAGAACGGTTTAATAGAACAGAAAAGAAGAAACTAATAATGATAATGATAACACTAATAAAATGACAACAGTAGTAATAAAAGGATTGAAATGTACAAATGATGCGCAGGGCAATTGCTCACCACCCTCCGACCGACACCCAGCCAGTCCCCGAGCAGCGAATCCGTGCCCCCCACTTCCCAGTTCCTAAACTAGATGGGACGTCACATGGTATGGAATACACCGTTGGCCAGTTTGGGTCAGGTGCCCTGGCTGGGCATGAGAAGCTGAAAAATCCTTGACTATAGTCTAAACACTACTGAGCAACAACTGAAAACATCAGTGTTATCAACATTCTTCACATACTGAACTCAAAACATAGCACTGTACCAGCTACTAGGAAGACAGTTAACTCTATCCCAGCTGAAACCAGGACAGGCATCCTTGATTGGCACCATTCCCAAAGGAGAGGAGCTAGAGACAGTTATGTGGCCAGATCACGCTTGAATTAAATCTCACTGCCTGAAGAAAAACTCCTTAAGGTGGCCTCACTTACCTCTTCTCCTTTTTGGCTGATGGGCAGGGAGAATTCATCCTGGAGCTAGGATATCTTTCCTACTCACTGTGTGGGTAAAATGCCCAACAGAGACTACAGGTACAGCAGCTGGGCTGTCCTGGATTGTCCATTGAAATGTGCGTCTGTATTATCTGTGCTATTTGCTTTTAAAATTTCCTTTTCCTTTTTTTCTTTTGTTCTCAGTTTGGTGAACTCTGTGCCACCTCCCAGGACAGAGCTGGCGACTCTGCTCTTGCTGAACCACCTCAACAGGTAGGAGTGACTGCAAAAAGTGTTTTATGTGTTCCCCATACCTGTTTCATGTGTAGTATCAACTTAAAACCCAGTCAGAGAATGCAGCGTTACAGCTTTGTACCAGTCAGGATCAAGGGTCACAGAGGAAAGTTGCAGTGTTTAAGGGATTGCCCTGCAAAACTTCTCGTGTTTTATAAACTGTTTTATCAAGAAGGCCTATCAGAAGTGTGTGGTGAATACTTTCAGCTGGACAGTCGCAGGATGCAGACCACAGGAGCTGCAGAGAAAGGCAAGATCCCAGCCGCTTTTCCACAGCTGCCAAGGCAAGCCAGGAAATCTTGCCTCGGAGAGGAAGAGTCCATTTTCCATGCTAAACCTGTCCGTGCAGGACGAAACAGAAGGAGCAACAGGAATATGCAGCACTGGCCTGATCAAGGTAAAGGACACTGCTGTAAGCATAGAGGAAGACTGGCTTTACTTTGATGCTAAAGGACAAAATACCTGCAGATACACCAAAAAGCAAGCAGTGATGCATCCAATAACTTCTGTATTTCTGCTTCTTTCCTCTCCTCATCTGGGCATATACGAGGACATTTCTGTAGCCTCATCAAGACCAGGGCACAGCTATCTGCAATACCCATTGAACAGCTTTTTTCTTTTCTTCTCTTTGCAGAAGAAAGCATCTATAAAACCAGAGATCCTGGGAAGGAGATGCGAGGTGCCCGGGAAGTAAAAGAGGATGAACACACAAGGGTGGACATACCCATTGATCAGGTCTGAGAAACGATTTTCTGCCCTGGTAGGAGTCTCGCTGCTGCAGGGAAGTACTTATGGTCCCACTAGAATCTATTGGTGCTGCAGGTTTTGCACAGCAGGGAGGCCAACTCCAAGAGCCAGCCCTTCAGAGACAGTCTGTGAGAATACATCAATCAATAGTTTATAGCAATTGCTTGGGGAAGTTCTTCAGTTTTCTCACTTGTTTTAAGTCCTGTTCGTTAGGTTTATGAAACGCTGCGCTTCTCTCTACAATGTGTAAAGATGAAAGTAACCACCAGGGGGAACTTCAGAAACCGGAGGACAGTGTGTAACGGCAGGGCTTTGCATGTTAGAAAGCCGAGAGATAGTCATCTGGGTAATGAACATTTCCCTTCTGGAATGTGGGAGTTACAGCTTCCCACTGCAGTAAGGATATCAAAGGCTTTCCTGGATTTTTTTGTGTGTACTACTTCTATCCTTATTCCTGTTCCAGAGAGTTGCAGAAGAACTTATACCAAAAGCCAAAATAATACACCACAGTAAGGTATATATTCCACTTAATCATTCTATGAAGTGTGTAAAATCCTTCCTGGCTGTGTTCAGAGTTCTTACACTAAAATTCGGTACCCCTAAATACAACTTGTTAAGCAGAACTTGCCTGTAGCCAGGTGAGTAAACATGGCAGGGAATAAACATGTAATTCCTAAAATGACTGAACACATTTATTAGATAGTAACAAGTTTAAGCCTTTTTTTAAAAAGGGAAAAAAAAGCAGTTCTTTTAAAACACAATTCTGTGTGAAAAATGTCTACAAGATGCTTATTGTTTGTGGCATATTAATGTTTTAAACTTTTCGTAAGGACATTTAGAATTGATGTAATGGGATGACATGCATTATATTGTAGGTGATTCACAGTTCTGCCTAGGTAGTCTCTTTGGATTAATTAGAACTTCAAAGGAAAACAACTCCTTTGAACTTAAATTAGAGAAAGCCCTAGTGAAGAATTAGCTAATGGCTTCTGACTTCTTGGCTCAATGGGGAGCCTGGTGTGCCGTGTTTGCTTTAGAGGCTGGGCCAGCATTTCTCAGTGGGGTGGGCACTCTGATGCCACTCCTTTCCGTTGGCCTTCCCCCCTCCAGATCACTCCGCTCTACAGTTGTTATTATTTGAGTGTCACAGCTCTCCTCTGCAGTGGGAGACAATCATGAGGCATTAAATAAACTACCTTTGAATTTAATGTAGAGACCCAAGTTTGCATACCAAAGCCATGGTAAAACTGGAAATGGAATCCATGAATTTCGTCCCAGAACCTTTCTGTAATAGTGAAGTGCTACATTAATAACTGTATTTCCTTCTCACAGCAAAAAGGCACGGACTACAGACAAATCACAAAAGACTGTGGCGAGGAAAAGGGATGCCAGTGACTCTGAGGATGAAAAGCACCAAACGATGTTGCCCTTGGCAGGAAAGAGCTCTGAAGAGTTCACAAAGGGAGTGTGATGGGAGAAGAGGGACAGTTCGGTACATGGCTATCTGCACAGCTGCAGAAAACAAAAGCATGTGAATCCTAGATTTCTCTAACACTAGACTGGCCAAGCTTTTTGATGAATTAACAAACTCTTCTAAAATCAAGCATCCTCACCGTCTAGGCTTGAGAAGCAGAGTACCAGTGAGTAATGAATGAGATACACAATGTTGTTAAATAATGAAGATTTTCCCTCTTTCCTCATCTCTATCGTGTGATGATGTGGCAGAGGCGATGGCTGCTTTTCTGAACTCTAATTAAGCTGGTTTGTATCTGAACTTGGGAAGGAGGAATTGCCAAATAGGATACACGCCTTTATAACAAAATGTCTGCCAGGAAGTTTGTTCTATGTCAGATGCTTCTTATAAAGAGATTTCATCGCATCATTGTCCCTCTGGTTTGGAATGCTTGGATAATGTTTGCAGCAATCAAACCTGTTCCCAAAATTATGTACATTTTGTTTCTGTTAACTTCTTTTAGGAGCATCTGCCTGATTTAGGAAAAGTCATAGTAATAAACAGCTCTTTTATTAACACTCTTTGTACAAGGCTTTCTGTATTCCCCTCCCTAGTGTTTCTGATTAATTACAAGGGTAACAAAGATTTTTTTCCTTCTGTGATCCATCTGGTATTTTGGACTGATAATTTCACTAAAAAGAAAAACACCCTTCCCTCCCTAGGGACAAACTGCACTGTTGTTATTTTACAGATGAGAGGAACTCTACAAGATGCCAGTGGAGGAAAGCCAGGTGGTAACCTCAGTGTAAGGGGCTGTGCAGCGTGACCTGGTACGTTGCAGCTGAGCGCAGTGGAGGAAGCCACTTCCATGTGCTTGGCCACAAAAAGGGAGAGTTCCTAAACAGATTCCTTCTACAGAAAAACCACTCGGTCCCAGAAGCTCCCTTTGAACGATTTATTAACCATTTATTATCCCTGCAGTGCTGACCAAGACAATTCAATCATCCTTGCCTTGAAACACCCACAGACAAAAAATTCCTTAAATCAAGACATTAAATAGGATGTCCTTGCAACATGTCTTGTTCCACCCTGGTGCTCAGGGAATATGGTCCAGTTTTTTTGACATCTGTGTGTCAAAATACAGCTTCCTAGGTCCAACTGAGCCAAAGGGTCTGCTGCTGAGCCAGAAGCCCCCTCTTTAGCCACGGGGGTTACCTTTGAACAGGTTCTCTTCCTCTGCTTCTCACTGCATCTTGTTCATGAACCAGCTACACAGAGCGTGACTCCTAGGATGGTGAGCAGCATTCCCACCACAGCCCCTGCGGAAATGAACAACAAGATGTTGGGAACTTACACAGTTCAACACTAGTCAGATCTTCTCATTGCTAACTATATGATGCTCAGATGTCACAGTAAATAGGCTAGCATAAACGTCTGGATAGATATGACCTGGACCAGGTGAGAACTGAAGGGATTTGGATGTCTGGACTGCCCATGTACATTGAGCAAAGCACATTTCTAAGAAAACGTTGCTGATGCTATATGTCTGGCTAGCAAGAACCATGCTTAAACAAACAAAAAAACATTTTAGTCTATTCCTACAGCTATTGCGCCAGGTCCTGGTGTTTTTAAGCTTTCAAGTTTCCTGCCATTTTTCTGACTTTCCAAGCAAGGTAATGTCATTGTAGGATGTAAGGGAAGGAAAGCAGGATGGGTGTTAACATCTGGGGGCTTATGGTGCACTCCTTTTCCATGGTGGGCATATTATTTAGTGCTTCTCTTATGGTTAAATATCTAGTTAGGTGAAAGCTCGGGCCTATAAACTTTGTTAGCTTAGGACAGCCAGTTCTATCTTCAAATTAACTACCGCTGCCCACAAGTCCGTTTCACTTCCCTTTCAGGTCCTGTAGCAAGAACTGCTGCTTAACTAGTTAAAGCCCTTGTGTGGGTGTTTGCTATTTTTCAGGAGACTAGTGGGTAGCCCACACTATTAAGTCAGCAAATAGGTGCAGGAGACAATGTGAGGAAATGTTTTAAGTGTAACTTACTTTTACCACCAATGTCCTCTCCCAGAAGCCTCCCAGTCACCAGCGTGACTACCAAAGCCAGGGAGTTACAGAGCGGTACTGCCAGGGACAGATCTGAAATTGAACAGTTGTAACACAAACAGTTTAAAATGGATGATCTTGTACAAATCATAAGGGACTTCTTTTATTTGTGATTATTACAAGACAGCTGCTTGATGTTTACCTGAGTCACCAGAGTAATCAATAGCACTGATCCTCCCAAAATCCCAATCAACCCACTCCGTGAAAGTGACGAGAACTAACCTGCGGATGCCAAGGTGAGGTAGAAGAGGAGAGATCCACCTTGATTGAGCAGAAACGGCACCATGTACTGCAAGAAGAACACAAGCCTGTCAGTTGCTGCTTGCAAACCCACCATGTGCCCCGCAGTGAGTGGGCAGCAGAGCCCAGACCCCCTTGCCCTGTGCCGTGTTGGGCAGCGGAAATGTGGCACGCTGGTGATTCCGCTGCCAGGCACAAGCTCCTCAACGTCTTAGTTCCCCAGTCTGCAAAAGGCAGACTGTGCTTATTTTATGTAAAATATGAGGGTTAATAACCTGCCACCTATGAAAGTGATCTCAATTCTGCACAAGAAGAGCAGTGCTATAGGCAATTAAATGAAACACTACTAAGGATAAAGAATTGTGATGATAGATGGAATATTTAACAGTTTAAGTATCAAGTCCAGAAGTAAACAGGAAGGAATGATCCCAAAGGCAGTTTGACACCCTGCTACCTCCCTGGCCCGGCAGCCTGGATGATGTCGCACCTTGTAGTTGAGGCCCAAGAAGCAGATCTCTGCCAGCAGCTGCTGCAGGCGGCCCTGGTGCCGCACCTCCTCCAGCCCCGCTGCACCCGTCCGCAGGAACGGTCCAGTGCTGCCCCACAGCACGGCCACCAGCACCAGCGCCGCTGCCTCTCCTGCGGCACAGCCTGGGCTCAGCAACCCGATGGCCCAGGGGAATGTCAGCCCGGTCTGCCATCACCTCAGAGAGCCCACACCGGGTCAGCCTGTCCTCATCTCCCTGTAGAGGGCCTGGCCTGGTCCACTGCTGCTCCCCATCAGGGACAACGCTCACCAGCCCAGCTCACTACCGTCTCCCATCATGAAGAACCCCACTCTGGGCCTACTGACACATTCCTCTTGGAGGGGGGGAAATCCCCACAGTGAGCCCACCCTGCTGCCGCATCCTCCTCAGGGAAAGCCCCTCACCGGGCCCAGCCTGCAGCCACGCTCCTTCGAGGAAAGCAGCAGAGCCAGCCGAGCCCATGGCCACGCTCTCCCTTCAGGGAAAACCTCACAGCAGACCAAACCGAAGGCCACATCCCCCATGCCCCCCTCAGAGAAGACCCCACAGGGGTCCAGGCCATGTTGCAAATATTCTGGCAAAGAAATAAAAATTTAATCACATAGAAGAGTTAGGTTTGATTAAGAAGTAAAATTGTGAAGCATAATTTATAGGATTGTTAAGTTTGAAATGTAGCCATAGAAACTTTAGGAACTGTGTTATATGTGACTATAGGAACCTTAATATTGTTAAAGTTTGAAATAGCTAACCATAGAAACCTCACCAGGAAGTTACTGGTTTTTCTATGTTTTGTTTCAAGAAACTAAGGAAACCGTCGTGGACACCAGTTTGCTGCTTGGAAACCCCCTTACCCTTCCCATCTCGATTTGAGTATCGAAGATTCCAGTCAGCAGAGCTAAGTGTAACTGACCAATGATTGTTTTTAAATAAGAATATTGATAAGGTTATATAATCAAAGGACCAATCATTATAAAGGTTAAATTTAAGAACGAGCATAGTATGCATTTTTATGTAAAGAGCTTAGGTAACAATGACCTGACAGAAAAAGTCCATAAAAACTGATGGATTTTGATACTAAGTGGGACACGCCTTTGGAGGAGCGATCCCCCGCGTCCCCAGCGCTGCACTAAACGAAGCGCCTGCTTCTTAACTTCCCCTTGGCGTTAAGGAGTTTTATTCCGGATTTCGGGAACAGCCATGGCCCTGTTCCACCCTCAGGGAAGATCCCCCCGGGGCCCAGCCTGCCGCCACATTCCCCCCGCCTCAAGGAAGTCCCCCACAAAGGTCCAGCCGGTGGCTATTTCCCTTCCCAAGGGAAGACCCCGTTCCCTTCTCAAAGCAGAACCTTCCCCGCCCGGGAACTCTCTCCCCTCCATCCCGGAAGCTCACCCACGGGCGCCATAGCGACGGTGACGCTACTTCCGTCCCGCGCAACCCTCTGACCCGGAAGCGATCGGCCGGTTCTTTCCCCTCAGAGCTGCCGCCATGGTAAGAGCCGGGTCGGGTCGGTGGTCGTGACCGGTGGTCGGACGGTGTCAGAGCCCCCGGGCCAGGGCTCCTGGGCCGCGGGGAGGGGGCGGGGGGCGGCAGTGCCCCCCCCACCCCCTCCCCGCGGCCCAGGAGCCCCGGACCCGGGGGCTGAGGCCGTGCCTCGCCTGAAGCATTAAATGGCGTCTCCCCCCGCCTCGCAGAAGCCGATCCTACTGCAGGGCCATGAGCGCTCCATCACGCAGATCAAATACAACCGAGAGGGAGACCTGCTTTTCACCGTGGCCAAGGATCCCGTGAGTGCGGCGGGCCCTGCCCGTCCGTGTTCCCCTCACCCCCACCCCCGAGTGAAAACCAGCCTCCGCCGCGATGATTGACGAGCTCTTCATCAGTCCCGTTAATTAATCCGTCTGGTAAGAGGGGTGCTTGGTTGTTTTCTTCTCCCAGATTGTCAACGTTTGGTATTCAGTGAATGGAGAGAGGCTCGGCACCTACAACGGCCACACAGGAGCCGTCTGGTGCGTGGATGCAGACTGTATCCTTTGATCGTGGAAACCAGTTTGTCTGCCCTATGTATTTTCCTTACAGGGATTCACTTGAGCTGATTCCTCCCAACTGCTGCACCGTTTCCTCTTGAAGAGGAGCCGAGGGGTGTGTGTGTGTGTGTGTGATACAGTATATTTAACTCTTCTGTTGTCTTTCCTTTACTCCATCTTTTGGGTATTTTTCATGCTGGGCTGTCGTTTGGAATAGCATGTGCGGCATTGCCCTGTCTGCTTTCATTTGTGCATCATTGCTTTTGCTGTGCTGGCCCTGGGAAGGTGTCCGAGTTGCACGAGGTCTTCCATCTTCAGTGTGGGCAGCAGTTAGTGGAGACAAAAACATGTAAAGGTTGTGTTAATGCAAGAGCTGGAGCCTTTTCCTTTAACATTTCTAGAAAAAAGCTGTGGATTTTTTTAATGCGAACACTTGGATTCCGTGTCTGTCTGTACTGGAGTATTGCTGGTCCTGGAATGAACATTGCCCAATCTCTGTGTAATACAGCTGTTTAATCTTGTGTATAAATATTCCCTGGGTATGTAGACAGTAGCTTTTTGGGGCTGAGAATGTGTTGATATTCCCTAACTGGTGACCTAGGGGACACACGACATGTGCTCACTGGCTCTGCGGATAACAGCTGTCGGCTCTGGGACTGTGAAACAGGTAAGATTCTTTTCTTCTCTGTTTGAGTCACAGCTCTGTCCTGCCATGAAGTCTGCTAAGCTTGGAGTGCATAGTGGCAGCAAAACATGTGCTTATTCACCCCCCTGAAGGAGGTCTGAATCCTAACTCAGACTGCTGGAGGGGAGGGTCTGTGGATGTGCCTAGTTTCTAGTGACTATGTAGTGAATTTGTGCACTTTTTACCGCCCAAGTAGTCAAATCGTGCAGTTAGTGCTTGCAGGTCACCAAACCTGCTTGTCAGCTACGCCCAATGCTCTCATCCTCCCTCCGACCCTGCCGCTCATCTGATCTTTTTCATTAACCTTGCAATAAAATACCTGGTGAAGTGACAGTTTCTGCTCTGTGTTCAGGAAAGCAGCTCGCCCTGGTGAAGACCAGCTCAGCAGTGAGGACATGTGGTTTTGACTTTGGAGGAAACATCATCATGTTTTCCACGGACAAGCAGATGGGATATCAGTGTTTTGTGAGCTTCTTTGACCTCCGGGACCCCAGCCAGATCGGTGAGGAATCCGGGCCAGTGCCTGCACCGGGGAATAAGGGGAGGCGTTGATCGCTGGAGCTGGTGCCATTCTGTCTGTCTGTCTGTCTGTCTCCTTCCTTCCTTCCTGCAGAGAACAACGAGCCTTACATGAAAATCCCGTGCAGTGACTCTAAAATCACTAGTGCTGTGTGGGGCCCTCTGGGAGACTTCATCATTGCAGGACATGAGAGTGGAGAGCTGAACCAGTTCAGTGCCAAGGTCAGTCTGATAAGGAACAGCATCTTCTTCGGGCAGCAATGCCTGGGGGAGGATATTGCAGCATTCCTGTTCTGGTCATGGGACAGAATATGGGCTTTTTGGCTCACACCGGCAGCCTCATGGAAGGATAGTTAAAATACGCAGCTCCCTTGAGCAAGGCTGATGTACCAATGCCTGCCCTACTGCTGACAGCGACATCTCCTAAACTGTTTTTCATGGATAAATCTTGCGTACACTCAGTTTGCTTGCCAGCATGCTGAAACTGCCTTCTTTACCCTTCAGTCAGGGGAACAGCTCTCAAACATCAAGGAGCACACCAAGCAAATCAACGATATTCAGACCTCCAGGGACATGACCATGTTCATCACTGCCTCCAAGGACAACACAGCCAAGGTGAGGCCTCTTGTTGGAATTGCAGTGGACTGTTGGTATTTGCTTGCAGGACCTCTGCTCAGAGCTGTGGCTATCACAGAGGTTTGATCCTTAGAAATTTGAGTTAGTGGAAAGTCAAAGCTTAGTGGGAAAGTTCAGGGAGAAAGGGGAGGTGCCACCACATTAAATTAATGGCCGGGGTGAGGCCTAGCAGCAAGATTTGTGTGAGTTAATTGGGCTGCCAGCCCTCTTGCAGAATAACTCTCTCCCTCTTGCCTCCTAGCTATTTGATTGCACGACACTCGAGCATTTGAAGACATTCCGGACGGAGCGACCGGTGAACTCTGCTGCACTCTCCCCCATTTTTGATCACGTAAGAATGAGCTCGTTCATTGTAACGGTCTTGCTGTGACTCCTGCATTGTCCCAGGTAGCTGGAAGACAAGAGTGTCACCAGTCCAGCTAAAAAACGTGACTGTGGGATGGGTCTGGGAAACTTTGCTTTGGTCTGGCGCAGGGAACAAGGCTTTGTGTCCTCTAATCTTCAAACGAGTGTGTCTGGGAGGCAGGACCTTCTCTGGGGCTGGAGTCAGGCCTGCTTATGAGTTTCTGGGATCTGCAGGGTTAGTAGGAGGCATCCCCAAGGCTCAGCTCCCTCCTCTCCCGGCTGCTGCTGTGCGTGTGGTGTAAGCAGCACTGAAGTGTTTTGGCTTCTCTCCTTTGCAGGTCGTGCTTGGTGGTGGGCAAGAGGCCATGGATGTGACCACGACCTCCACCAGGATTGGCAAATTTGAGGCGAGGTTGGTCCTTTTCCTCTGGCAAGGTTGAGTCCTCACCTGGAGGACTCCTGACAGCCCAGGGGTGCTTGTCCCAGAGCATCTTTCTCCTGGCAGTGTTGGAGGAGTCATTAAACTTGCGGAGCTTTTTTGAGGAAACCCTGATAGTGTCCCTAACCAGGCTCCTGACTTCTTGTGATAATTTCAATCTTCTTCCTTCTCCCAGGTTCTTCCATTTGGCTTTTGAAGAAGAGTTTGGCCGAGTGAAGGGTCACTTTGGTCCGATAAATAGCGTTGCTTTTCACCCCGACGGGAAGAGGTGAGGATCTCTGTGGGTCTTGCAGTATGCCCCAGTCAAGCCAAGCCCACCTTCCAGTTAGGAGATGGCTGGGCTCACAGGAGCTCTGCAGTGGGAATGGAGCAAGCACCTTCCTTAATTCTCCCACTCCAGCCCTGCTGCCTCCCCCCATGCTGTCCAGGGGGTTCACACTGATGCCCTGCTGCACATTTTGGCTGCGTCACTGGTATTTTTTCTGTCCTGTGACTCCTTTATTAGTTTTTGGAGGGGGGTGCGAGAACAGACTCCAATACTGGTATAAACCTAGACGCTGTGAGCTCCTGACAACATTCCTGACTTTATCTTGTCTTTCCTCTCTTGCAGTTACAGCAGCGGGGGTGAGGATGGCTACGTTCGCATCCATTACTTCGATCCCCAGTACTTTGAGTTTGAATTTGAAGCTTAAAGGAGGACTTCCTCTCCTCTTCTCTTTCCTCCTCCAACCCATTGCCCAGTCCATCAGCTCCTGTGCAGAACTGTTGTAAGGCCTGAAGTTATTCTGCTCTGCAGGAGGCAGCGGGAAGCAGTTAGCAGCAACCTTGGGGGGCTGTGTGAAGGTGGGGAACTAGAAACCCAACCGGCTCAAAAGGGCAGGACTGGCTTTCACAGGAGATAGAGTGAAGGCAAGGAGGGGATTTGGGTTGGCTGCCTGCCTGCCCCTGGGGACGCTAGCTTCCTGCCCTGCTGGGCATACTTATACATCAGGGGAGAACAAAAAAATCATCAGGAAATAAATATAAATCTTTTATAAACACAAGGAAAAGCACCTCTCTGTGTTGGTTTGGTTTTGTTGGTTTTTTTTTCTTGATCTGGAACAAAATTATCCTGAATGCTTTGCTTTCCCGGATCTGTTGGCGGTGCCTTGCTCCCCACCCATGGGCAGCCAGCAGTGCTGTTACTCCTGGGGCCTCTGTCCGCCCCAGGCCTAGGTTAACTCTTTCCCAGGGAGGATCTGCAGCTATGGTTCAGGTCCGGCCCTGAAGTGTGAACAGGCTGGAAGCGCAGCAGCCAGTCATTGTTTTCCAGATGACACGCACGCGCCCAGTTCTGGTGCTTTGTTTATTTGGTAGACTGACCCTGAGCCAACTTTCCTCATAGAACAGTTATTTCCTGCACTAGCATGCTTGTGTTGCAAATCCTCATCCTTCCAGCCCTGTCACCCTGTGTCTGTCTGTCTGGAGGGGTGGTTTGTATCTCTTTCCTTCCTCAAAACTGGGTTCAAGGGCAGATTTCCCAGCCTGGCTCCCAGCTAGGAGCAACTAACGCAACATGGGCGACCAGCATACCCTTTGTGGAGAGGGTGTTGGGGGTTTAGTGTGTTCTGCTGCTTAGTTCTTGCTCTGCTGACTGTGTCTGGCAGCTGGGCAGGGGCTGCGAGCCAGGCACGCTGTGGTGGGAGCTGCTGGAGGCCAACGCTGCTGGGCACATCAACTTCCCGCTGCCTCCTGCCCTTCTACTCTGCCGCTGCTGCTGAAATCCCGCTGGGAAAGAGAGCGGGAAGGACCCTCGCTTGCAAGGGAGCGGGGCTGCTTCTGCCCCTACGTAAGAGCAGAAAAGCAGGCGTGGGCTGCGAGAGAGAGCACTTTACTGAAACAAGCTCAGTCTGCGCAGCCCAGAGGCTGTGAAAGGGAGTCTGCGTCCGCACCACCAGAGCTGTCCTCCGGGCTCGGCAGGGCCTGTGTCCTGCACAGCGCTTCCCACAGAAAGCTGCAGCATCACCTTGGACCGGCAGCCCACGGGGACTGAATTGCCCATGCTGCTGTTCATCTTTCGTTCTCTGTCCGGGCAGCAGGGTCGGAGAGGGACCGGCTCAGCCTGTTCCCTGCGCTCTCCTTGACAGGGGGTTTGTTGCCCTCTACTAACCGCTCGATCTCTGCCCAGGCCTCGTCCAGGTACTGGGATGAACGGATCCATCGGAAGAATAAACCTAGGAGAGAAGGGGCTGTGTGTTATTTCAGCAGTGCCCTGTCAAGAGAGGGAAAAGCAGAGCAGCTTTCCCTCATGCAGCTCAGCTCGGAGCTGAAGATGGGTTTAGAGAGCACTGGACCCAGCTTACCCTGCCAGAGCTCGATGCTCTGGGGCTCGACGGAGGGCCAGATGACCAGGGCGTTGTGCGAGTAGAGAGGGTTCAGGTACTTCTTCTTCTCTCCAGGCTGGTTCAGCCAAGCCCAGAGGGAGTGCGTGGTCTCCTTCACTTTACACAGGCACCTATGGGAGAGATGAGATGAGTTTTCAGTCCCTGCTGGGAGTCATGGGGCTTGGTGTGACCCAAGCTGTGTCCAGGAAAGCTTCGCTCTGCCCTATCCGGCAGGGTCAGCCCCTGCCCTGGCCACAGCAGGGTCTGCCGCAAGGTCACGGTGGTGACCACGGCCTTGCTCCTAAGGGAAAGCACTGTCCCCACTTCCCGCCCCGCTCACCTCTCTTTCTCGTTGTTGCAGAGGAAGGTGCCGTAGTCAGAAGCGTAGGCGTTGTCGAAGAGGGTGAGGAGGAGGTGCTCCCCAAACTCCAGGGAGAAGGGGAACTGGCGGCTCAGCTGCCACACGCAGTCAAGAAAGAGGAGAAAAAGCGGTGCCTCCTGCTTCAGCCGGGCATGGGAGTAGGCAGAGCGGGCGCAGCGGAGGTGGAAGGGATGGCCAGCCTGTGGGACCCCAGAGGGGCAATAAAGGGGGTGAAGGGGTTGCCCAACCAGGCTGGGGTCCCCAGGCCCCCTCAGGACTGCCGGTCTCACCTCGATCCACTCCCGCTCCAGCAGCCCCTGGAAGCCCACCAGCGTGCGGCAGGACGGATCCAGGATCACCTGGGCCAGCGCCGTCACCAGCAGCGTTGTGTCCGTTCCCTCCGCCCCGTGCACCAGCACACTGGCCTCCTCCCTGCGGGCAAGCGCGAGCAGTCGGGTTGATGCCTGAGGTTTGTGTCACGCTGAGAGCTTTGAAAGGGGGAAAGCAGGGGCTGCGGGGTGGCAGCCCCCCCCCGTTACCTGTCCATGCACTGTGCGGCCAGGCAGGCTGTGCTCAGGGCCGCCTTGACGTGGCTCAGCCAGCGGCAGCTCTCCAGCCGGCTCAGCCACCGGTCCATGTTGATCGAAGTGTCGTTGCAGGCTTCCACCAGCTTAATAAAGCTCTCCTGCAGCGGGCGGCCTCTGGGAGGGGAGGAAAGTGGTGTCAGGGGCTTGATGATCCTTTTTGAGGGGGGCTGGAGTCCCCATGCCATTGGCAGGGCAGTGTCACGAGCGTGCAAGGCCTCAGCACAACCCCTCACCTCTCCAGGGGCCGGTGCAGCCTCCTCCACCGCGGGTAGGAGGACTTGGGTTCCGTGCCCCCCCCCGTCATCCGAGCCTGCTTCGCCGCCTGGGCCGACCGCGTGTCGATGATAAAGCCCCGTTCCCCTTCATCCAGGACCGTCCCCAGCAGCATCTCGTCCTCGCGGCAGCGCTTTCGATTGGGGCCCGTCAGCGGCTGGCTGCTGCGGAGCATCACCTGCGGGGCGAGGGATGGTGGGCAGCGAGAGCCGGGGGGGGCACCAGGGGAACCCCACAGGATGGGGGGGGGGCTTCGAGCCACCTTCGCTCAAGGGCTGGCAGTGGTGGGAGAGGGGATGAGGGGCAGGATGGGGAGATGGACTCACGGTGCCATTCTTGGGGTGGTAATAGCTGAGGACGGGGAATCGCCCGCCCTGCCGAAAACGGGCAGCCTTCCGCAAGGCATCATCGTCCACCGCCGCCGGCACGATGACGGCGGGAGGGTACGTGGGGCAGGTGGTGAAATCCCGGTTCACGTCGCTCAGCCGCCACTGGCTCGTCTGGGGGAAATGCGGGGTGAGCCCCAGCGGGCAGCGCGGTGCGGGTGCAGGGAGTCACTTCTCCCCCCAGCCTAGCCGGGTCTCTCCCCTCCAGGCTCACCTGCAAGGCGATCTGTTGGAAGTACTGCTCGAGGGGGAAAAGGTTCCATCCTTCCTCGAGCTTCAGGCTCTGGGGTCTGTAGAAGAACGGGTACATCATCATCACGGAGTCCACCGAGGAGAGGGCCTGGAGTGGGAGCAAAGGTGGAGCTGGTCACGGGTGGGGGGCACGGACCAGAGCACGGAGGTGGCTGGGAAAGTCCCCGCTGCATCCCCAGGGCTCTGCAAACCCCATCTCCGTTCCCCACTCCTGGCCCATCCCAGCTGCAAGCGAGGGCTGGGCAGGCAGGCGCTGGCACCACCAGCTCTTTGGGCACCCTTTGCCAACGCTGTCCGGGAGCCGTGTTTACCCACGTTAATGACAGACCGAGAGCAAACACTGCAGGCGGCTGCTTTCTCCTGCCAACCCTTTGCACCCCGACGCGGCTCGGGCCAGGCTCTCTGGCCACCCAGGAGCTCACCTCGATGGAGCTGGCGATGTTGAGACACTCCTCCATGCCCGGGATCTCCAGCTGCAGCACCTTCAGGTCTTTGCACCGGAGCGTGATGGTGCCGGAGGAGCCAGCGAGCCTGGGGGAGGCAGGAGAAGGGTCAGGGCTGGCTGTTGGTCCATGCACACGGACAGACACGCGGACAGACACACGACAGCACTGAGCTGCCCACTCCCCCCAGGAGAGCTGAGCGGGGCGAAGCGGGAGGGCTGTGCTGGTGTGGGTGCCGAATTGCTGGCTCTCATCTGACGCCAACGGCAGACCGGTCTGAAGCCGGGATTTCCACCATCTCCCTGCCCTGGCCGGGGCCCGGCGGGCGCCGCAATGGTTAGCACAAAGCCGGGCACTGCCGGGTGGGTTAGCAGAGCCAAGAGCATGTTAAAAGCCAAACCTGGTGTCTTGGGAGCCGTTAGTCCGGGGGGGCTGGTACCAGCCTAAATTCTGCACTCTGAGGCACAGAGGAGAAGAGGAGGTCAATGGCTGGTGCCGCGAGCATTCCCTGGCATGGGCCGCGGGGAAGAGGAGGGACGAGGCTCGGCGGGCAGCGCCGTGGGGTGGCCATGCTCTGCCGTGGGCACCGGGAGAGCGGTGGGGAATCTCCTCCAGCTAAGGCAGGGGTGATGCTGCTAGAAGGGAGCGCGGGGCTGGCTGTAGGGAGTGACCCACCTCTTCTCCACGGCATCCACGTTGCGGATGAGCAGCCAGAGCTCCACGGTACCGGGCTGGCTGTCCCCCCCGGGGCAGGAGGAGAGGAGAAGGTGGTGGCTGGTGATGCACAGGGTGCCCTTCACCGCCGGTAGCCCCACGCACGACAGCAGCACGCTCTCCACTGTCGCCGTCTTGATCAGCTCGGCGAACTCCATGGCGGTGCCGGCAGCCGCCGAGCCTCGGCGTAGCCTGCCTCTGCCAGGGACAGGGACCTGTGGCCAGCGGCTGCCTCGGGGCTGGAGGGAGAAAGGGGAAATCCTGCAGCCGCAGAGCCCAGCCTGGAAACCCCCTCTTCCCTCTTTGTCACGCTGGGCCCTATAGTCTCACCCCCCCTCTTCTTGTTTACATTGTCACTTATAGCATATGGAGCCTCCTCGCTGCAAAACGCAGGGAAGCGTGACATTTCCCCCCCCCCAGCAATGCTGTCATTGCAGATGGGGAAACTGAGGCACAGGGCAGAGGGGGCTGAGCTGGCTCCAGGCTCCCCGGCAGCGCCCAGACCCCAAGCCAGGTACCCTGCACCCGATGCTGGTTGCGCTGCCGGGCAGGGGGGGATTTTTGGTGGCTGGTGAAAATGCAACTGCTGCCTTGCAGGGAGCAGCTCTGGGTCCTTTCCTGCCTGCGGTGGGGCCTGCCGCGCTGGGGCTGTTCGGTGCTGCGTCAACCGCTGCCAGACCACGGGCACCAACCTGACCCTGGCTCCCACAGCCCCGCGGGCTCTGCCCTGCACCCACAGACACCCCCCAGGCCTGGGGATGGAGCAGAAGCTGCTGCCAAGTGCCCTGGGCGAGGAGGAGGAGGGTTGAGCGGCTGGCAGCGCTGCCTGCCCTGGCCACCCCTGTACTTACCTGCTCAGGTTTGGCGGCAGGCGGGGACCTCGGGGTGCAAGTGGGGGACCTTAGGGTGCAAGCAGGGACCTCGGGGTGAGAGCAGGGACCTCGGGGTGCAAGTGGGGGACCTTAGGGTGCAAACAGAGAATTGCTGGGCATAAGCAGGGGACCTTGGGGTGCAAGTGGGGGACCTCGGGGTGCAAGTGGGGGACCTTGGGGCGCAAGCAAGAATCTCGGGGTGCAAGCGGGAGACTGTGGGGCGCACCAGGGATCCTGGGGTGCAAGCAGAGGACCTCAGGGTGCAAACAGGGAACTGCTGAGCATAAGCAGGAGACCCTGGGGTGCAAGCAGGGGACCTTGGGGTGCAAGCAGGGGACCTCGGGGTGAGAGCAGGGACCTCGGGGTGCAAGCAGGGACCTTGGGGTGCAAGCCTGGAGGCGGCCGATGCCCCGCACAGCTTTACCGGGACTGGCGGGGACGGCAGCTCGGCGCAGGGCTCCGCGCCCGGCGGATGTCGGGTTTAAGGTAGCCCGGCCCCGGGGCGGCTTGCACCGCCGGGCGGGGCGGGGGAACGGGGACAGCGGCCGGATCCTGACCCGGTTCCACCTTAACGGCCCGGCCGGGATAGGGGACCCCAGCTGCCCCCCTCCACCACCCCCGTAGCCCCCACCGGTTTCTTTTTCCTTCCTTGGGCTTTTTTTGGCCTCCCCCCCCCCCACCAACCGGGTGCGGGAAGGCGGCTGCGCCCGGGGATAAATCATCCCTGCTCCTCCTTGCCAGTACGTCCCGGTGAAGGTTTCCTCCCGGGGAACAGGGAGTCTCCTCCCAGCTGGAGACAATAATGCTAAAAAAGAAAAAAAAAAAGGAAAAAAAAAAAAGAAAAAAAAAACCCCAAAAAAACCCCCAACAAAACCGCCACCGAACAAAACCAAAAAAAAAAAAAAAAAAAAGCCCCCTCCTTTGCACTCCTCGGGATAAGGAAAGTTCCTGCCCGTTAGAATTGTCCTCGGCGTCCCCAACCTTTATTGTTCTGGGGGTGAATAAATAGCCAGGACTCGGGTGTAGCTGGGGAGAGCGGGTGGGTGTCCGTGGTCAGGGTGCTCTTCGCTCTGTAGGTGCAGCGGGGCAGGGACTCTGTTGGCACGGGGGCTTTGTGGGGGCTTTGAGCTCACCCAAAGGTTTTGGGGGGCTCCAGTGGGTGCCACTATGTCCTTTGGCCAGCTGAAATTCAAGGAGCTGGGTGAGGAGGAGCCCACCTGGGAAGAGGAGAGCCTGGACAGCGTGAAGGCGCTGACGGCCAAGCTGAAGCTGCAGACACGGAGACCTTCCTACCTGGAGTGGGAAGCCTGGGTACGGGGGCAGCCCTGGCACAGCCGGACCCCTGGGGGGGCACGGGGGGTAGAGTCGGCCCCTGGGCACCCCGAGGACAAGTGGGATGGTGGCATCTGTGGCTTTGCCACCATGGAGGCAGCTCTGGAGTGGCTCAGGACGGAGCTGGTGAGTAGATGTCGGTGGGATGGGGGGCACGAGGGGTGGGCAAGGACTGAGCCCCAAGGGAGGGATGGGGCCGTGGGGCTTCGCTGTGCGGAGGAAGCGCTTGCAGCCCAACCTCATGCAGCAGTGACGGGATGCGTGGGAGCCGGGGCGCTCCAGTCGCAGCGCCATGCTTTGCTCCTTTGCCCAGCATGGCCAGAGTACGTGGCTTTTTGCAAGGCGCGTGTGGCTCTGCCAGTGCCATGGCTCTGCCTGTGTCCCCTGGGGGGTCACGGCTCTGTCAGGGTATGCGCTTGTCACCCCCTCCTGCCTGCTCTGCTGGTGGCACGGCTGCGGTGACTTTCATGGGGTGGCACAGGCAGCAACAGCCATGCGGGTACAAACCCACGGGCATCTGAGCTGACCCCGGGCTGCGACCCCGGCACAGACCTCGTGCCGACCCTGGTACTGCGTGCGTGGGGTCTGTGCTGATCCCAAGGCCACGTGCGCACGTGGTCCCCGGTGGGTTTATGCCCTGACCAAACCTCAGCCCTGCTGCCTCAGCATCCCTGCTGCCCGGGCAGCTGACCTGATGGCCGGTCCTGCTCCGACCCTGATGCCCATCTCCCCCTGCAGCGGGAGATGCAGGCTGCAGACCAGCACCTGGCGCAGCAGCTGATGCGCCTGCGGGCGCAGCTGCACCGGCTGAAGGTGGAGCAGGCCTGCCACCAGCACAAGGAGATGCTGGACGACGCTACCTTCGGCCTTGAGGGCTGCGAAGAAGACTCGGACCTGCTCTGCAACATCCCGCCGAAGGCCGCCTTCCTCCTCTCCATGCCGCTCAAGCACATCGGAGTCACCCGCATGAACATCAACTCTCGACGGTTCTCCCTCTGCTAAGCACAGCGGGACCCCGCGGAATGCTCTGCACCAAGCCCAGATGGGAGCCTTGCAGGCACCCATGGGTGCACCCAGACCTGGTAGGGCTTGAGGATCCCTTCCAAAATGCCTCGGAGACTGCGGAGCTGCTGCTGGGGCTGAGGTCCCTTGGGGCAGGCAGTACTGGGCCAGTGGTGCTGCCAACCCTGCCCTGAGGGCAATGCCATGCTGTGCCACGCCACGGTGGCATGGGAAATGCCACCATCCCCACTGGGCACAGGGTGTTTTGGGGCACCCAGTGCCCTGTCCCTAAAGATGATGGGATCGACCACCAGGGAAAATGTGGGGAGCAGCCCTTTGAGGAGAAATAAAAGGAGGTGAAGGTGAGAGCTGATGTTTTTTCCTTATTTTGCATGCACCCAGGCACCTGTCTGTGCCTCTAGATGTGGCTCCCGGCTCTTCACTGTGGGTGATCTGGGGGTGGCAGGGGGGGACCACGCTGCCATCACCCCTTACCTGGCTGCTCCCCAGGGCTCTGGCTCGTAGGGTGGGTGGCTTCTCACTGGTTTCTGCTGTAGGACGGTGCTGTACCAGAGAGACAGTGTCTCTGCTTTGGGGACCTCCTTGCCAGCCTCTCCCCAGGATGCCCCTGGCAGCGGGTGGGTGCTCGGGCTGCACCGTTGCAGGAAATGCTCGTCACCGAACCGGCTGCGAATGGAGGGGTTGTTTTTGAGGCTTGAGGCCAGGAGGTGCTGGAGGCTGAACACAGGGTTCGGCAGCCTCTGTGCCCCCGTCCGAGCCCCTGCAGCACTGCGCTGGGAGCAGGAGGGATCCTGGGGGGGTAGTACCAGCCAGGGCTGACAACACTGCCTTCACCAGAGGGGTTTGCTTTTGGCTTTTTCCCTTCCTCCATTAACATCAAACCCTTTACAAAAGAAGTTGCTGCCTGGGGATGTGACTTTCACAGAATGCTTTTTGGAAGCAGCGCCGGGAAAGCTCTGGGGTGACCCAGGGAAGCTCTGGGGTGATCCGGGGACAACTTTGGGGGCTGTTTCTCCTTCCCAAGGTAGCGGCAGGACACGGGGAGAACCCGATGCGCGCCCCGAGGCTGCGGCGCACCCCAGGGCCTGGCAGCGTTCCCCATCACCCCTTGCCTGGGGCACCCACGGCGTTGGGGAGCGCGCTGGCAATGGGGCTGCGCGGCTGACCCTGGGAAATGTCCCTGCTGGGGTGGGTGCTACGTCCGGTGCTGCCACGGCGGTGGCCCCCCAAGGCTGCCACAACCTCCCCCCTGACACAGATGGGCTTCCTGCCCGTGCCTCCGCAGAGCAGTCGGCAGGTACCTGTGGCTTCATGTTTGATCACAAAAGCCAAGACAATAGGGTTGTGGTTGCTCTGCTCTGAGCTGTTTCCAAAAAAACAAGGCTGACAGCCCGGCTGGGGCACAACGTGTCCCCTTGGCTTCAGCCCCTGTCACTGTGGTTCTCAGGGTGCCAGGGTCTGGGGTGACCTGGTGGTGATGGCCAAAGCAGGGGCTGCGGGGTGCAGGATGAGTCCCACAACCTGCGTAGGGTCTGACAGGGTCGGGGAGGGGGCTCGTACGCAGCACTGCCAGCCTGCCCATGCCAAGTGCCAGAGAGGGGACAGCACAGGGGACCGGGGGACTCAGCTAGCCGGGACTGCCCAAGCAGCGGGTGACAATCCCCTGCCCATCGCCGTCCCCTCGCAGCACGTCTCCCAGCCCATGGGACCCCACTCCTCTGCTGGCCAAGGGGCTCAGCATCCCCTTGCCCACCCGGTCCTTGGGGGTCAGTGGCCGGGTGGGCACCCAGAGCAAGGACCCTCTGTGCCGAGGATAGCAGGAAGCCATCGGGGTTTGTCACTAGCTCTTGCGGTTGTGCGCGAACTGCAAACCAGCTTCTCTAGAGTTTGCTCATGAGGCAGGAAACCAGGGCAGGCGGCGAGCAAGAGTGAGCGGTGGCAGCGGGGAGCGCGCACCCGCGTGCGGGGGGCTCGTCTCTGCTCCCCAGAGGGTCGCCGTGCTCCCGCCAGGGATGGAGAGGACGTGAGCGGGGACGGTGCCTTCGCTCTTGCTGCCGGGCCATGGGAGTCTGAGAGCAGCTGGTCCTCGCCTTGCTGCCAAAAGGTAACGGGATTTGGGGGTGAGAGGGTTTGCACCCTCCAGATGGGAGCTGGGGACCACCCGGGTGCCTGCGGAGGGTGGGTGAGGGTCTTGTTGCACTCTCCAAGGTTGCCCCTCGGAGAGATGGAAATGGGGTTCAGGCTTGTTGCTGCAGGGGGATGGGAGCGCTGGTGCCTGGGTGAGGGATGGGGGGAGCAGGGCTGTGCTCCCCATTCCTCTGTGGTCTCCCAGTTGGGGTGAAAGCCGCTGCCTTGATGCCTTCTTGCCCACCGGGGGGCCCTGCCCAGGGTGGGAGCACCGGCCCCCTCGCAGGGCTCTCCCTGAGCCCCCATTTCCAGGGCAAAGCAGGAGTTTTGTCCCCAGCGCCAGGCTCCTGCCTGCCCAGTTGTGGGCAAGAGCAGCTTAGGGACAGGCAGTGGGTTAGTGCCGGTCCATCAGGCTCCGCCGCCCAGTTTGGGGGGTTCAGACACTGAGATACGCCTGGTTTTGGTGCCGTCTCAGTGCAAAAACTTCCCTGCTGTGATGGCAGCTCTGGGGCCCTGGTCCTTCCCGTCTCTGCGAGGCTGTGCCAGCGTGGGGCTGACTGTCCAGCTGGGTCACAGCTGGCTTGGGGACATCCCAGTGAGCCTTGAAGAGCATCAGGGACGGAGTCAGCCCAGCCTTCAGCCCTCCTCACGCCCGCCCACGCTTGTGAACAAACCAACCGGACCTGGCCAAAGAAGACGTGTGCGGAAGGGCCAGCAAGAGCCAGGGAGTCCGGACACGCTCCGGAGCAAAGCTGGGGAAAGGCACATACACGGCCGTGCGAGGACACGCGTGCACACCCATGCACACCCATACACACGCACGCAGACACGTCCCCAGGAACATGGCGAGGCAAGGGGCAGAGGCGCCTACACATCCCTCCCAGGCAGCCTTGGCACGAGAAATTCGGTTGCACAGATGCAGTCACAAAATCAGACTTCAAACGCCCCATTTCACCGGCATGGCCCTCGCGCCACGCAGGTGAAACGGCTGCTCGGTGGAAATTACGCTGTGGCTTGAGTACATAAGAAAAAAAGGCACAATAGCAGCACCTCCCTCCCCACCTCGGCTTCGTGCAGGAAGGAAAAAACACCTCCTGGCAGTGCTCGCCTTTGGTAAAGGCGTTTGAGGGGCTGCGGGCAGGTCTGGGAGAGTGGGGGCTTCTCTGCAGGGTCAGGGTTGTGCTTGGGGCTGGGTACGGGCTTTGCTGTTGCCTGGGCATCACCGGGGCCTTGCCTGTTCCTCCTGCCTCCATTGGGGCACTGCAGCGTGACCAAACGCCTTTTTGGGTGCCAAAGTGTGTTGCCAAATAGGTGTCACCAAAAGCTGAAGGCACCAGCGTGGTTTTTAGTATTTGAGTCCCCAAAGCAGCATTGCATGGTGGGGGCGGGGGGGCTCGCTCATCTGCCCTCTCCTTGCCAAAATTGCCGTGGTGGGCATCTTGAGGCAGCGCTGTGGGGACAGCGCCTGTGTCCCTGCTGTGGATGCCAAAACAGCTGCACTGATCCTGTTCTTGAGGGAGGGGGGTCCTGGTTTGCAGAGCCAGCCCTGACAGCAGGCTCTGATGGCTGCGGCTGGTGGCACTGGGGTTTGGCAGCACCCTGGGGACCCTGCACCCTCCCTGGGGACCCTGCACCCTCCCTGGGGACCCCCTGCGAGGCTCTTCCCTCCGTCCTCAGCTGCCCAAGGGGGCACACGCTCAAATGAAGCCCCCACTGCCGTGCCCTCCTTGGCAGTACGGAGAGAGGTGGATTCAAGTGTGTGCTTGTGAAAACACAGCTGCGCAATGGCTCCCGGGTAGGAAACCAAGGAGAAAACGGTGTCGGCAGTGCCGGTCAGCTGGCATCTCCCAGTAAAGCAGCTCCCGGGGCTCAGCCAGCCTGCTGGGGACCCGGCTCGTTGCAGGGTACGGCGAGGATGGGGACCCTCGCAGCTGCACTGCCTCGCTGCCAGATAAGAGCTCCCCGCTCAGCATTTGCAAAAGTGGCGGCTGATTTTGGGTGCTGGGGGCAGAGACACCTGGGATGGCTTTTGGCAGCGTAGGGGTCCCAGCCCTGCCATTGGCACCCAGTGCTGGTGCAAACTGTGCCCTGGCCCCCACATCTGCTGGGCAGAGCCTGGAAAAGAGGGGTTGGGGGCCAGGTCTTGGTGGAGATAAATCCTGGTGGCGTAGGCGTGGGGGATTCTGCAGAAGAGCTTTTTCCAGGGCCGTGGGCTGCCATTTCCATGTGACGCACTGTTGGGGCTCCTGGCTCTGTGCTGCGCTCAGCTTTTGCGGGAAGGCACGAGCTACCCAGGTGGTTTGCAGAGCCCACGCGACACTCGTGGCATCGCTGTCAGGCTCCCCGGTGCCCATGCCACGGTGCCGGGGACCCCGGGTCGCAGCCCTGCATTGTCTTGGCATCACCGTAGCCAGGGCTGATGCTTGAGGTTGGGGGGTTCTTGATGTTTCAGGGTGAGCTGCCGAGGATGAGGGGTCCCCGAGCAGGGATGTGGGTTTAAAGAACATCCTTGATGCAGGAGAAACAGCACAGCGACAGGGCCGAATGCATGGCTGGGGTGGGGGCAGGGGGGGGGAAGGTTAATGAGAGCCCTGGGGGAAAGGAAATCAGAGGCGATGCAGCGTGGGTGGGTGAGCACTCGCATCCACTTCTGACCCCAGGAGCCATTTTTAGGACCAGGGAGGTGCCTGGTCCAGCCAAACCTCATAAAACACACGTTGCAGGGCCATGCAAGAACGTATTAATTGCTAATGGGATATTCATGTTTAGATTGTTATCTGGATGGAGAATGTAGGGATCAGCCCAAGGGCTGCAGGATGGGAAGGAGCTGGGGAAGAAGGCAACACCACACT